AGGAGTTCGAGACCAGCCTGGCCAACATGATAAAACCCTGTCTCTACTAAAAATACTAAAAAATTAACTGGGCATGGTGACACATGCTTGTAATTTCAGCTACTTGGAAGGCTGAGGCATGAGAATCAGTTGAACCTTGGTGGCAAAGGTTGCGGTGAGCTGAGATTGTACAACTGGACTCCAGCCTGGGCAACAGAGTGAGACTCTGTCTCAGATTAAAAAAAAAAAAGAGAGAGAGCAGGAGTGCCATCCTCAAAAACCTGGAGGACTAATCCTGTTCCAGATGGTCTCAGAGGTCATAGTTGGAACCAGTGGCATGGATACTATTAGAGAGGCAGAGGCAGATTTTAACTGCACAAAGGGAAGAACACAAAGCCATCTCAATAAGGGTAAAAAGTACATACCATGGGAAATGTGTTAGTCCATTCTTGAATTGTAATAAAGAAATACATGAGACTGGGTAATCTATAAAGAAAATAGGTTTAATTGGCTCATGCTTCTTCAGGCTATACAGGAAGCATAGTGGCTTCTGCTTCTGAGGAGTCCTCAGGAAGCTTCTAATCATGGCAGAAGGCAAAGTGGGATCAGGTGTCTTAAATGGCAGGGGCAGGAGCAAGAGAGAGCAAGGCGGGGGTGCTGCATACCTTTAAACAACAGATTTCATGAGAATGCACTCACTGTCATGAGAGCAGCCTTAAGAGGATGGTGCTAAACCATTCATGAGAAACCACTGCCATGATCCAATCACCTCCTACCAGGCCCCACTTCCAATATTGGGGATTACAGTTTGGCATGAGATTTGGTGAGGACACAGAGCCAATCCATGTCATTCTGCCCTGGCCTCCCAAATGTCATGTCCTTCTCGCAATGCAAAATTCAATCATCCTTTCTCAACAGTTCCCCCAAATTTTAACTCATTCCAGCATTAACTCAAAAGTCCACAGTCCAAAGTCTCACCTAAGACAAGGCAAGTACCCTTCTGCCTATGAGCCTATAACATTAAAAACAAGGTGTTTACTTCTAAGATACAATGGGAGTATAGGCATTGGGTAAACACTCCTATTCCAAAAGGGAGAAATCAGCCAAAAGGAAGGGACTACAGGCCTCATGCAAGTCCAAAACCCAGCAGGGCAGTCATTAAATCTTAAAGCTCCAAAATAATCTCCTTTGACTCCATGTCCCACATCCAAGGCACACTGATGCAAGGGGTGGGCTCCCAAGGCCTGGGGAAGCCCCACCCCTGTGGCTGCTCTCAAGGGCTGGTGTTGAGTGCCTGTGGCTTTTCCAGGGGCAGGGTGCAAACTACTAGTGGATCTACCATTCTGGGGTCTAGAGGATGGTGGCCCTCTTCTCACAGCTTCACTGGGCAGTGCCCCAGTGGGGACTCTGTGTGGGGGCTCCAAGCCCACATTTCTCCTCCACACTGCCCTAGTAGAGGTTCTCCATGAGGGCTCCACCCCTGCAGCAGGTTTCTTTTTTTTTTTTTTTTTTTTGAGATAGAGTCTTGCTCTTTCGCCCAGGCTAGAGTGCAGTGGCCGGATCTCAGCTCACTGCAAGCTCTGCCTCCCGGGTTCAGGCCATTCTCCTGCCTCAGCCTCCCAAGTAGCTGGGACTACAGGCGCGCGCCACCTCGCCCGGCTTGTTTTTTTGTATTTTTAAGTAGAGACGGGGTTTCACCTTGTTAGCCAGGATGGTCTCGATCTCCTGACCTCGTGATCCGCCCGTCTCGGCCTCCCAAAGTGCTGGGATTACAGGCTTGAGCCACCGCACCCGGCCCCCCTGCAGCAGGTTTCTGCCTGAACATCCAGGCTTTTCCATACATCCTCTGAAATCCAGGCAGAGGTTCCCAAGCCTCAACTTTTTACACTCTGTGCACCCACATGCTTAATACCACTTGGAAGCCACCAAGGCTTCTAGCTTGCACTTTCTGAAGCAGTGATCTAAGCTGTACCTGTACCATACCCCTTTGATCCATGGCTTGAGCTGGCACAACTGGGATGTGGGGAGCAATATCCTAAGGCTGTGTAGGGCAGCAGGACCCTGGGCCTGACCCACAGAACTATCCTGTCCTCCTAGCCCTCCAGGCCTGTGATGGTAAGGACTGCTACAAGTCTCTGAAATGACTTCAAGAACTTTTCCCCATTGTCTTGGCTATTATTGCTTGGCTCCTTTTTACGTATGCAAATTTCTGCAGCCTTCTTGAGGTCAGGAGTTCGAGATCAGCCTGGCCAACATGGTAAAACCCTGTCTCTATTAAAAACACAAAAATTAGCTGTGCATGGTGGTGGGTGCCTGTAATCCCAGCTACTGAGGAGGCTGAGGCAGGAGTATTGCTTGAACCTGGGAGGCAGAGATTGCAGTGAGCCAAGATTGCGCCACTGCACTCCAGCCTGGGCAACAGAGAGAGACTGTCTCAAAAACAAACAAACAACAACAGCAACAATAAAACAGATCTCATGAGAACTCTCACTATCACAAGAACAGCACCAAAGGATAGTACTAAACCATTCATAAGAAACCACCCCTATGATCCAATCACCTCCCACCAGGTCCCACCTCCGATACTGGAGATTACAGTTTGACATGAGATTTGTTGGGGACACAGATCCAAACCATATCAAGAAGTATTCACACAGGCTACATGACTATTTAGCAAGAAAATGCTACTGATAAGAGAATCATCAGGGGAAGGTTCTCAAACTCCTGGTCACAATAGTGAGTATTGAAATCCATTCAGAGAAACTTTTTTTTTTTTTTAATTTTTATTTATTTATTTATTTTTTGAGATGGAGTCTCGCTTGGTCGCCAAGGCTGGGGTGCAGTGGCATGATCTCGGCTCACTGCAAGCTCCGCCTCCCAGATTCATGCCATTCTCCTGCCTCAGCTTCCCAAGTAGCTGGGACTACAGGCACCCACCACCATGCCCAGCTAATTGTTTGTATTTTTTAGTAGAGATGGGGTTTCACCGTGTTAGCCAGGATGGTCTCGATCTCCTGACCTTGTGATCTGCCCGCCTTGGCCTCCCAAAGTGTTGGGATTACAGGCATGAGCCACTATGCCCGGCCTAGAGGAACTTTTAAAAGAAATATATTTTTTAAATTTTATTTTATATATATATATATATATTTTTTTTGGGGGGACAGAGTCTCACTCTGTCACCCAGGCTGGAGTGCAGTGTCACAATCTTGGCTCACTGCAACCTCCACCTCCCAGGTTCAAGCTATTCTCCTGCCTCAGCCTCCCAAGTAGTTGGGACTACAGGCACCTACCACCATGCCTGGCTAATTTTGTGTATTTTTAGTAGAGATGGGGTTTCACCATGTTGGCCAGGCTGATCTCGAACTCCTGACCTCAAATGATCCACCCACCTCGGCCTCCCAAAGTGCTGGGATTACAGACATGAGCCACCATGCCCAGCCAGAATATAATTTTTAAAAACACCAGAATATGTCACATATAATGGTCTGCGTATTGTTTACTGAGACTTTTTTCTTTATATGTGTGTGCCTGTATACTGGGGTTATGATGTAAAATATATTTCTTACTGCAAGTCATGCAAAAAGGTTTGAAATAAACTTCACTGGATGACCATCAAGGCATCTTCCAGCACTCACTCTGTGAAAGAGGTCTGAACTGTGGGTCACAAGATCCAGGTCCTCCCTCAGCCTTATAATTACAAGTTGTTATCCCTCTGTGAACCCCAGTTTTCCCATTCGTGCAGCGATAGTGAAAATTATTTACATCTTTAGATACAGTGGTCAAAGTCTAAAGGCCCTTCCAATTCCAGAATTTTTTTATTCTAAGAACATCCTTTAATTCAGCAAGTATTGCTCAAGCAGTGCCTTCAATGTGCCAGGCACTGTTCTAGGTGTGGAGATACAGGAGTGAACGAAACAGACAAAAAACAGCCCTACCCCTCATGGAGCTTATATTCTAGTGAGAGTAGACAGTAAAATAAGTAAGTGAACCATGACAAATGTTAGCAATAAGTGGTAAGGAGAAAAAATAAGCAGAGATGACGGGTACAAAATATCAGGGAGAGGGTTGAAATTCTAGATGGAGTGGTCAGGACATTCTCACAGAGAAGGTGTTTTTTGAGTAAAGACCTGGTAGAAATGACGGCACTAACCATCTGGTGAAGGGCATCCCCAAAAAGGGAAACAGCAAAAGCAAAAGGCTGTGAGGTGGGAACATGCCTAGCATGTTCCTTGAACAGCAGGGAGGCCAGGGTGGTTGGAGTAGGTGAGCAAAGCCAGTAGAAGATGAAGTCAAAGAGGTTACAAGGGGCATGGGTGAGAACAGAGTTCTTTAGAGCTGCCTCCAATTTCTTTTGTAAGCTGTGGGCAATAATGCCTATCTTTACATAATTATGAGGATCAAGTGAGCTGGGAATGTGCTCCCCAAACTGAGAGATCCTGCACAGATATGAAGGGCTTACTATTTTGTGAGTTAAAGTAAATGGGGCAAGTCAATGACCATGAGAGAATGCCACCTGTCTCCCTCAGAGACTCCCTGGCCAGTCTAGGGCAGGTAGTCTTCTGAAGCAGCAGATCTCTTATGATAGTGAGTGAGTTCTCACAAGGTCTGCTTGATTAAAAATATGTAGGACCGGCCAGGCGAGGTGGCTCCTACCTGTAATCTCAGCACTTTGGGAGGCACAGGCAGGTGGATCACCTGAAGTCAGGAGTTTGAGACCAGCCTGGCCAACATGGTGAAACCCCATCTCTACTAAAAATACAAAAAAAAAAAAAAAAATTTAACCAGGCGTGGTGGTACATGCCTGTGATCCCAGGTACTCGGGAGGCTGAGGCAGAAGAATCACTTGAACCCAGGAGGCAGAGGTTGCAGTGAGTCGAGATGTCACTGCACTCCAGCCTGGGTGGCAGAGTATAAGACTCCTCCGTCTCAAAAAAAAAAAAAAAAATGTGCAGCACCTCCCACCTCTCAACAGTGGTTGCTCTCTCAAGAGACTAAGAATATCTCGCTTTTGATTGATTTAGAAATTCCATCACCCAAAGTTAAGTAGTCTTCATCGGAAGAACTTCATCTGGAATCTGAAAAATGTTCCTCTTCTGGAGAAATACCTGTATGTCCTGGGCCAGAATCGAAACCGAGAGATTGTCGAGCATGTCATTCATCTATTCAAGGAGGAAGTAATGACCAAGTTAAGTCATTTTCGAGAATGTGAGTATTCTCCCAATTAAGTATTTTTCTTGATATTTAAACTGTCAAATTTCATATCATCAAAAAAGTATGGAGGTACAATTTAGCTTTATCAAATCTTAAAATTTTGCCATATTTGCTTCTATTGCTTTTTAAATAATAATATTTTTACTTTCCTCAAAATTGCTACATTTGAAGCCTCCTCTAAACTTTACATGAGTCTACCTCTCTTCTTCCCATTAAATTTGCACATTACATATGTATGATTTATAAATTATTTATAGTAGGGTTTGTGTTTTTCAAACTTTATATCAATAGTATCACACTGTGTATTATTATTCTGCAACCTGCCTTTTCTATTCAACATGTTTTGCAGATTGAGTCATATGAATATTTGTAGTTTTAGTTCAGTTTATTAGTTTTAACTGCTAAATAGTATTCCATAGTATGAATATACCATAACTTATTTGCATGTACTATTACTATAATTTTTTGGTCCATTCTCTTGTTAATGGAATTTTAGGTTGCTTCCATTTCTTTGCTACATAAATGATGCTTCAATGAACCCTCTAGTAGAGGGGTCCCCAGACCCCAGGAAGTGGGCTACACAGCAGGAGGTGAGCAGAGGGAAAGCAAGCATTACCGCCTGAGCTCTGCCTCCTCTCAGATCAGCAGTAGCATTCGATTCTCGTAGGAGCGCAAACCCTACTGTGAACTGCGCATGCGAGGGATCTAAGTGAGAATCTAATGCCTGATGATCTGAGGTGGAACAGTTTTATCCCAAAACCATCCCTCCCCTAGTCTCCTGTCCATGGAAAAATGGTCTTCCATGAAACCAGTCCCTGATGCCAAAAAGGTTGGGAACCGCTGCTGTAGTATATATCTCCCTGTGTACACAGACAAGTGTTTCTCTAGGGTATATATCTAGATATAACCAGCTTTTTCATCCAGCATTAAGTACTGGTCAAAGGCAAGGAACTGGCTGGGCACAGTGGCTCACACCTGTAATCCCAGCACTTTGGGAGGCCAAGGTGGGTGGATCACTTGAGGTCAGGAGTTTGAGACTAGCCTGGCCAACATGGTGAAACCCAGTCTCTAATAAAAATGGGAAAACTATCTGGGCATGGTGACATGTGCCTGTAATCTCAGCTACTCAGGAGGCTGAGGCAAGAGAATCGCTTGAACCCTAGAGGTGGAGGTTGCAGTGGGCCTAGATCGTGCCAGTGCACTCCAGCCTGGGCAACAGAGTGAAATCCATCTCAGAAAAAAAAAAAAGGCAAGTAACTGAAGGGCATTTCTATCAAGGCCTAAGATAGGCAGTATGTGTCTCTTGGTGTTTACTTACTTTGTGTAAACACAATGTAAGGTGTAGCATAAAAACAGAGTTGATTTTTTTCCCTTTAAACCTGTTTTTCCCCCAGTCTTCTTCATCTCATTAAAGTGGTATCCACCATTCACCTAGTTAATCTGGACAAAAAGTTAGGAGTCATCAGGCTTCACTTTGTTCTTTCTCTCATATCACAAATCCAATCAAATTCTATCCATTCTTTCTTCAAAGGAGAGCCTATGATCTGGATGATTGCAGTGGCCTTATAACTGGTCTCCCTGCTCCTGCTCTGCCTCTGTACCGTATATATTCACTTGTCTTCCCTTTCTTTTCTCAATACTACTTTTATAAGATTCTTCGTGTCATTGCATGTGCTAGAGTTGGCTAACTTTTATGACTAAAATATTGTATTCACTAATATACCACACATTATTCTACTCTTAAAAGATACTTGGGTTGTTTCTTATTTGGGGCTACTAAGAACAGTGGTGCCGTGAACATGCTTGAGTCTCAGTATACATGTTCATTAGTCTTTGAGTGTATACTTTGGGGTAGGATTGCTAGGTCATAGGACATGTCTAATGTCTATATTCAGCTTCACTGGATAATACTAATGTTTTCAAAAGTGGTTCTATGAATTTATACTACAGCTAGCAGAGTGTGAAAGTTTTCATTGTTCTATACCCTTGGTGTGGTCAGACTTTTAAAATTTTCTCAATCTGATTTGTACATAATACTTTATCATTACATCATGGTTTTAAAATCCATCTCCCTATTTATTGACCATTTGAAATATATTCTTGAGAAGTGCCAAATCAAGTCTTTGGCCTTTTTTCTATTGAATTTTTTTTTTCTCATTGATTTGTAGAAATGCTAAATATATTCTGGATGTGAGTCCTTTGCTAGTTATATGTGTTACAAATATTTTGTCCCATTCTCTGGCAAGTGTTTTCATGGTATGGTATGTTTGGATGTGTAATTCTAAATTTTTTTTTTTGAGGCAGTCTTGCTGTGTCACCTAGGCTGGAGTGCAGTGGCGCAATCACAGCTCACTGCAGCTTCGACCTCCTGGGCCCAAGCGATCCTCCCACCTCAGACTCCCAAGTAGCTGGGACTAAGCTATCCACCATCATGCCTGGTGAATATTTTTATTTTTGTAGAGACAGGGTTTCTCTATGTTGTTCAGACTGGTCTCAAACTCCTGGGCTCAAGCGATCCTCCCACATTGGCTTCCCAAAGCACTAAGATTACATGAGCAACCGCACCAGGACCCTGTTATTTTTTACAGCTTTATTGAGTTGTAATTCACAAACCATGAAATTCACCATTTATTTATTTATTTATTTATTTATTTATTTATTTGACCTGGAGTCTTGCTCTGTCACCCAGGCTGGAGTGCAGTGGTGCGATCTCGGCTCACTGCAACCTCCACCTCCTGGGTTCAAGAGATCCTCCTGCTGCAGTAACCCAAATAGCTGTGACCACAGGTGTGTGCCACCATGCCTGGCTACTTTTTTTGTATTATTACTCATGGATATTTAGAAGTATAAATCCTGTTCCCCAAAATATGATGAACTTTTTTTGGTTATATTTTATTGTTGATTTCTACGGTAATTACATTGTGATCAGAGAACATACTTTATATTAGTGCTGTCCAGTAGGATTTTCTTCAATGAAGGAAATGTTCTATATCTGTGTTGTTCAATACAATAGCTCCTATGTGGCTATGGGCATTTGAAATGTGGCTAGTGCTGCTAAGGAATAGGAATTTCAATTTTATTTTAATCTTACTGAGCTAAAAAAAATTTTTTTATAGCTGGGACTACAGGCATGCATCACCATGCCTAGCAGATTTTTTATTTTTTTTATAGAGATGGAGTCTCACTATGTTGCCCAGGCTGGTCTCGAACTACTGGCTGCAAGCGATCCTCCCACATCAGCCTCTGAAAGTGCTGGGATTACAGGTATAAGCCAATGTACCCAGCTTGAATCCTGTTTTTTTGTTTTTTGTTTTTTTCTTTTTGTTTTTTTGAGACGGAGTCTCGCTCTGTCGCCCGCGCTGGAGTGCAGTGGCCGGATCTCAGCTCACTGCAAACTCCGCCTCCCGGGTTTACGCCATTCTCCTGCCTCAGCCTCCTGAGTAGCTGGGACTACAAGCACCCGCCAACTCGCCCGGCTAGCTTTTTGTATTTTTTAGTGGAGATGGGGTTTCACTGTGTTAGCCAGGATGGTCTCGATCTCCTGACCTCGTGATCCTCCCGTCTCGGCCTCCCAAAGTGCTGGGATTACAGGCTTGAGACACCGCGCCCGGCCCTCTTTTTTTTTAAAGACAGTTTCACTCTGTTGCCCAGGCTGGAGTTCAGTAGCATGATCTCAGCTCACTGCAACCTCTGCCTCCTGGGTTCAAGTGATTCTTATGCCTCATCCTCTCTAGTAGCTGGAATTATGCACCACCATGCCCGGGTAATTTTTGTATTTTTAGTAGAGACGGAGTTTTGCCATGTTGGCCAGGTTGGTCTTGAACTCCTGGCCTCAAGTGATCCGCCCACCTCAGCCTCCCAAACTGCTGAGATTACAGGCGTGAATCACCACATCCAGCCCTCCAGTTTGAATCTTAATGAATTTAAATAACCACATGTGTCTAGTGGCTACCATAGTAGACAGATGAAGCTCTGTATTATTTCAGTCATTTCAAATACACTTTATCATGTAGTATTTGGTAAATGTTTATGAATGGTTCATGTGTGCTTTAAAAGAAAGTGTATTCTGCAGTGTTGGGTATGAAGTTATATATGCCCATTATGTCAAGTTTATTAATAATTTTTAAATTTTCTGTAACTTTCACTTACATTTTGGTCTGCTTTTTTTTTTTTTTTTTAACAATTATTGAGTAAAGTACATGTTAAAGTATATTTTAATCCTACTATGATTGCAGATTGCCTATTCTTTGCTTGTATTTCTGTCAAATTTTGCCATATATATATATATGTATATAAATTTTTTTTGAGATAGAGTCTTGCTCTGTTGCCCAGACTGCCCAGACTGCTCTGGACTCACTGCAATCTCTGCCTCCCGGGTTCAAGTGATTCTCTTGCCTCAACCTCCCGAATAGCTGGGACTACAGACGCCCACCATCACGCTGGCTAAATTTTGTATTTTTAATAGAAACAGGGTTTCACCATGTTGTACAGGCTGGTCTGGAACTCCTAGACTCAAGCAATCCACCTCGTTGGGCTCCCAAAGTGGCCAAAGGGATTACAGGCATGAGCCACCACGCCCAGTCAAATTTTACCTTATATATTTTTGAGTCAATTATATAATACATCCCAATTTCAGAAATACATACTTTAAAATCCATGATTTACAATAATATTGTTTCTGTGTGCCCACTCACTATGTTACATTGCTTAAGCATGATTTATACAATCCTAAATCATATAGAAAAATTCAGCATTATAATTAAAAGCTAAAATTATATACTTTATGTCATGTATGTGCCTCAGGGCTTCATTGACATCTCTTACTAATCTTTAGTCAGTGGCTTAAATCCGTGCTTCTTAGACTATCTATGGTAAAAGACAAGTGTGAGTTTTTCCCCCAACCCATTACAGTCTGGCATATGGTCCTACTATGCATGATTCGCTTACAGTTCGTGTCACATGCAACTAACCACGGGAGTTTGACAAAACTTGAACTCGTATACGCTCCGTTCAATGAGACAAGGCCACTGATCACACTCTTGGATGTCATATGACTGTAAAATTTTCTAAACACTCTCAACTCTGTTCTTATCTCTTGCAGACTAGTAACATTTTGTAGACCAGTACTGGCCACAGACCCCACTTTGAGTAGTACTGACTTAAAATATCACCACCAGGCCAGGCGTGGTGGCTCACGCCTATAATCCCAGCACTTTGGGAGGCCAAGGTGGGCAGATCACGAGGTCAGGAGATCGAGACCATCCTGGCTAACACAGTGAAACCCCATCTCTACTAAAAATACAAACAATTAGCTGGGCATGGTGGTGGGCGCCTGGAGTCCCAGCTACTTGGGAGGCTGAGGCAGGAGAATGGCGTGAACCCGGAGCTTGCAGTGAGCCGAGATCGTGCCACTGCACTCCAGCCTGGGAGACAGAGAGACTCCGTCTCAAAAAAAAAAAAAAAAAAAAAGAAATATACATCACCACCTATTTCAGTAATCAAAAAATGGGAAATTTAGAATTACCACATTATCAGAAAATTTTGTTTAAAATCCTAGGTGAGGCCAGTCATGGTTGCTCAGGCCTGTAATCCCAGCACTTTGGGAGGCTGAGGCGGGTAGATCATTTGAGGTCAGGAGTTCGAGAGCAGCCTGGCCAACATGGTGAAACCCCGTCTCTACTAAAAATATAAAAATTAGCTGGGTGTGGTGGCACACGCCTGTAATCCAGCTACTCAGGAGGCTGAGGCAGGAGAATTGCTTGAACCCAGGAGATGGAGGTTGCAGTGAGCCAAGATTGTGCCAGGGTACTCCAGCCGGGCAACACAGTGAGACTCTATCTCAAAGAATAAAAATAAAATAAAATCCTAGATGAAAATAAAGGTAAATCTGGTTCATTCTAGGACTCTTTGTTTCTTCTAACAATATGAATATGTTTCTATTCTTTTTAAACATTTCTGGGTTTGAGCAGTTCTTTTCACTTTACTCTTTTAATAGCCAAAATCAGGTATTTGTAGTGACTGCAGTCTCCATCTTCTGGCCTTGTATTGATGAAAAGCAAAACAACCACCCCAAATTAACTGCTTTTATTATTTTCAGATGAAATTATTTTACTTCAAGAAAAATAGGGCTTGGCCCTTTATCTCTGACTGCTCATCAAATTATCTGAATGGCTTTGCCTATGAAAGAGAAATGGAAGGGGAATAAATTGGAATATTCAATAACTATTTTTATGTGATTTTTCTATTTTCAGGTATCAATCATGGAGATCTTAATGACCATAATATTTTAATAGAGTCCAGCAAGTCAGCCTCTGGAAATGCTGAATATCAAGTGTCTGGGATTTTAGACTTTGATGACATGAGCTATGGCTACTATGTGTTTGAACTGGCAATTACCATCATGTACATGATGATTGAAAGCAAGAATCCTATACAAGTAGGAGGCCATGTCCTTGCAGGGTTTGAAAGCATCACCCCACTGACAGCTGTAGAGAAGGGTGCTTTGTTTTTACTTGTATGCAGTCGTTTTTGCCAGTCACTTGTCATGGCTGCATACTCTTGCCAGCTATACCCAGAGAACAAAGATTATTTCATGGTTACTGCAAAAACCGGGTGGAAACACTTACAGCAAATGTTTGACATGGGTCAGAAAGCTGTAGAAGAAATCTGGTTTGAAACTGCCAAATCCTATGAATCTGGGATCTCTAGGTGACTGAGATCTCCATGTGACTAAAAGTTCACTTTAACGTGGGTAATTAAAATAGGGCCCAATCAAATTTTAGGAAAGATTTTCCTGTATAGTTAAAAATCAATTGATGGAATGGATCAATTCTGAATATGACAGAGCACATGAAATCCCTAAGGTCTTCAAGCAATCTCATGACAATTTTTTAAAATTCACAAAAGTACCACGAGCAAGCATATTTTTCTGTGAGTCTCACTTGCCATGTCTATAAACACATATGATACCAGTTTGAATCAGATAATCTCACAAGATCTATTCCAGTCCTGAGATTAATGACTGTTTTTAATTTTTAAAATAATGTATACATACAGATATATTGACATATTTTAAATATCTGGACATAACATACTGACCTAGATAACATACTAGCAGTTCTATGAAACCTCCTCTGATCTGTCCTTTCTCTCAAATCCCAGTGCACTGTGTCTTTTTCATGGCCCATCACTTTGCATAATGGATCATGGTTGTGCAGTCATCTTGTCTGAGAGCTATTGAGGGCAGAGACCATGTAAAACTTATTTTTGTCTCCTCATCCCTTCTTATCACACCTGCTATTATAGTGCCTTTCCTACAGAGAGGTCTTTAAAAATATTTGAAAATAAATGTGTGCTAGAAGAAAGGATGGAGAAGGCACACACTAAGATGCTTTAGGAGAAAGCACAGACAGCATTCTTTTTTTTTTTGAGACAGAGTCTCACACTATTGCCCAGGCTGGAGTGCAATGGCATAATTTCGGCACTGCAACCTCCACCTCCCAGGTTCAGGCAGTTCTCCTGCCTCAGCCTCCTGAGTAGGTGGGATTACAGGTGCCCGCCACCACGCCAGGCTTATTTTTTGTATTTTTTAGTAGAGACGGGATTTCACTATGTTGGCCAGGCTGGTCTTGAACTCCTGACCCTGTGATCCACCCACCTCAGCCTCCCAAAGTGCTGGGATTATAGGCGTCAGCCACCACGCCCGGCCACAGGCAGCATTCTTGGAGAAAAAATTTTAACTTGTCTGAGAGGGTGGTTGAAACTGGAACTCCAGAGACAGATGCTGGAAGACCCTGGGAACTGCAAGGAAGCAAATAATGACATCCAGGCAAGGCCACTAACCCCTCACCTACCCAAATATAATGGTTCCTTTCAGACTGATACCAGGAACTTCCTTAAGCATATATATTTTAATTCTCTATAATTTCTTTTTGGATGACTATGAAGTAGATTGGGTAGACTGAAGCTCACTGTATACTTGGCTGAAGGTATCCCATTGTGTTTCCTTCACTGGTTTCTCTTCATGTCTCCTTTAGTATGATTTAGTAAATGGCTGTTTACTATTCTTATGGTTTCAACTATTCATTGTCTACAGATGACTCAAGCCTAGAACCCTGGCCATTCAAACACTCAATAGTTTATCTTTCTATATATATGAACAGGCATTGATCCTATCTCCATCTTTCTGTCCACCTACCTAGTCTTCCCAAAGTAGATATTTCTCTAAATTGCCTTATATGGTTCATTTTTCACTTCTTTGTCCCTCGATTTCATTTCATTTCTTTTTTTTTTTTTTTTTGAGGGCAGGGGGACAGGGTTTCACTGCAGCCTCAACCTCCTGGGCCCAGGTGATCCTCCCACCTCAGCCTCCCTAGTAGCTAGGACTTCAGGCATGTGCCACCATGCCCAGCTAATTCTTTAAATTTTTGTAGAGATTGGGGTAATACCTATCTCATACAGTTAACAGAGTTCATTGTGAGAATTTCATGAGAGAACAGTGCCAAGTGCTTAACACAGTGTAACACATAGGACTCAGTAACTATTTACTCAATAAATGAACCATATTCCAGGTTACCCAAACTCAAAATATTGGAGTAATTTTTTGCTTGCCTCTCTTATATTCAGTGAGCCCTACTGGTTTTTAGAATCGTAGAATTTTAGGAATCTCTGTCTTTCCTGAATTTTTTGGTTTTTTTTTTGGGTTTCTTTGTTTGTTTGAGACAGGGTCTCACTCAGTCACCCACGCTGGAGTGCAGTGGTGTGATCACAGCTCACTGTAACTTCTACCTCCTGAGCTCAATCCTCCTACTTCAGCCTCCTGAGTAGCTGGGAGTACAGGCATGTGCCACCACGCCTGGCTAATTTATTTTATTTTGTAGAGATAAGGTCTCACTATGTTGCCCAGGCTAGTCTCTAACCCCTGGACTCAAGCAATCCTCCTGCCTTGGCCTCCCTAAATGCTAGGATTACAGGCGTGAGCTATCATACCCAGCCTGTGCTGTTTTTTAACAATATATAATAAAAGCCAACATTTATTCAGCACTGAAGTATTTTACACACATTAGCTTACTCAATTTTTACAACAAGCCCATGAGGGAAGTACTGTTATAATTAATTCTCATTTTCAGATAAGAAAATAGCAGCTGAAAAAGTAAAAATAATTTGCTCAAAGAGAGCTAGGGCTTAAATCAGGTCTTTCTGATGCAGACCATGCGCTTCACTACCACAAAGTTCCATGCTACTTTCTCTCCCTCTCCCTCCTCTCCTGTCCCTGTTGCACGCACACACACACACACACACTCACAGGAGGAACAAATGAGATCATTCACATGAAAGCACTTAAACGTTTCTCAAACTTAAGGGATTGTGGTTTTTATCTAGGTTGACCACTCAAGCTAAAAACTAGGAACCAGAAAAATGGACTGAAACTTGGGTTTCACTTTCAGACCAGTGTTGATCCTCTGAATTGATGAAACTCTATAGTAATTTCCCTCTTGATTGCCCCTGCTAACATAGATTTCCTTTCACGCAATTCCTAATGCAATATTGCTGACCACTGTTTAGATGTTTATATGCTGCATGACATTGATATTTTACTATTTGGTGTTTGTTCTAACTTGTCTCCAATCAATCAATTTCATGTGGTTTATATAAACTCTTTGGTGGCTGTGATGGTTAGTTTTAGGTGTCAACTTGCCTGGATTAAGGGACACAGAGATAGGTAGCAAAGCATTATTCCTGAGCATGTCTGTGCAGAAGTTTCCAGAAGAGACTGGCATTTGAATCAGTAGCTGAGTAAGGAAGATCCCCCTCACCAATATGGGTGGGCACCATCCAATCTGTTGAAGGTCTGGATAGAACAAAAAGACAAAGGAAAGATGGATTCAGTCTCTCTCCTGGGACAACCATCTTTTCTTGCCCTCAGATAGCAAAACTCCAGGTTCTTGGCCTTCAAACTCCAGGACTTAACCAGCAGCCCCTCAGGTTCTTAGGTCCTCAGCCTCAGACTGAGAGTTACACCATCATCTCCTTTGTTCTCCAGCCTTTAGACTCAAACTGAATCACACAATTGGCTTCACTGGTTCTTCAGCTAACAGAGAGCAATCGTGGGACTTCTTAACCTCCATAATTTAGTTCCATAATAAATCCCCTCCTGTCTGTCTACCTATGCATCCATCCATCCCATTGATTCGGTTTCTCTGGAGAACCCTAATACAATGCATAAATTAAACATTTATTTTACTTTACCTTCAGGACCTAGCACCATGCCAGGCCCCTAGAAGACCCAGTAAAGATTTGTTGAATAAACTGTAAGAATGAACACACCACTACAAGTGCCAAGTCCTGGTCCTTTCAAACAACGTGGAGAAAACCCAGTTCCAGATTTAGGAATTAATACTGTATGTCTGGCAAAGACTCTTTGCTCTTGCAAGTGCCTTCTGTCCAGGCTTTTAACCCCCCTGGACTACAACACACCTTTACTTTCTGGTGTTCTTAGTCTCCCTAACCTCTGCACTTCGTATTATGTAGGCAGATAAAAACTCTGGTTACATATATTGCTCTGTGATGACCAAAAAAATTGTGGCTTAAAACTTGAATCATTTTATTAGCTTATGGTTTCTGGCAGTCATGAATTCAGACAGGCCCTGGGACAGTTTGTCTCTGCTCCCCAGTGCTGGGGCCTCAGCTAGGAAGACTTTAAGGCTGGGAGAGATTTGATGCCTGGGAGAGACTCAATCACTGTGTAACCGAACACTCGTTTCTTAAGAGTCCAATTGACAAGGGTGAGGTATGATAGAAAGATAGAATTTATTAACCAAAAATAGTAAAGGGAAAGCAGTCAGATTCCTGTCCAAATTAACGGCTTCTATTTTTAGGAAGAAGGCAGGGGTTTAAAAAGAAAAAACTTGATAAGGAAGACATGCAAGAACTGGGCTGAGTACAGTTGTCCGTGTGTCTTGTTCTGGTGGCTATCTTGGGTTCTGGTCCACCTGGACCCTGGGCTGATGGCATTTCAACAATGGCCAGGTTGTTAACTAGCTGCCTTGAAGTAATCTCTGGAACCTTGCAGCTGGGTCTCCAGACTTGGTCTCTGTGTCTCAGGATTGACCCCTGGAACTTCTAAGAATTAGAAGTTAGATACTAATAGACAGTTATGTGAAGGGAGTATATATGATGAGAAAGGGAAGGATGTGGAGTCTAGAAAAGGCTTCTGCAGTTTGCTTCAAGGTTATATCTTTAAACCCAAGGAAAAGGGGGAAAAAATTTTAATGCAGTTTGAAGCTAAGCTGCCTGGTTACAACTGGGTACTAGGATCATCTGGAGGGATCTTCACTCAGCTATCTGGCAGGTGATGCTGGGACTTCATCTAGGCTGTTGGCCAAACACCTCTCCATGTGGCCTTTGCCTCCTCACAGCATAGTGTCTGGGTCCCAAGAACGACCATCCCAAGAGGACAAGACAGACCATATCACTATTTGTGACTTGCTCTTGGAAGTCACATGATATCCCTTCCATTGTAGTCACAGGCTCACCCAGATTCAGAATAAGGGGACACAGAACCTCTCAATGGGAACCATCTGTGGCACATTGTAAGAGGAACATGTGGGATGAGAGATGTTGACGGTTCATCATCCTAAAACATCACTTTAATCCTGTCTTCCCATTACTGACCAAAACAAATTCTGGTACTAAAAGCACTCTACACTTTGGCCTCAAACACCTTTCCTTCTTTACTTCCTGTATTATCTCCTCCATTCAGATCAGACGGAACTACTCAGTCACCCACACTTGTCAGACTCATTCTTCTTTTGTCCTTTTTCTCAACTAATCCTTCTTCTTTTGACCTGAGAAATTCTACCTCTGACTTAAAAGTTACTGTTCACTGAATTCTGCAGAATGAACTAAGGTGGCAGGCAGGGGCCCTCAGAGATGCCATACGTTACACCACCTGAGGATGCTTTCAGAGCACCACCTGTGTGTGACTCTTTGCCATCTTGCCTTGGCTCACTTCCCTGTGTGCTTGGAAAGCAGAGATGATAGGTGAGACCCCAAAATGCAACTTCCAAGCCATCTCCCTTTCAAAGCCCACATCCCCCAATTATTTTGCAACCAACATGAAGAGGACAGAGTTTCTGCCCAATGGGTTGCTTTTTGGGAGAGACTGAGCAGATGACTTCATATGAACCCAGATCTAGTCAACCTTCTAGCCTGAAAAAACCTGAAATGAATAGCAGATAGTTTACATAGGGACTGAGGCTGAATGAGCAAAAGGGTGGAGAGATGGATAATGAACACATAAACAAGTATGACAATTTCAGTAAAGAAGATAAAATGGTGCGAGTATATGCTGACAGTAGGGTATTGTTTTAACTGCGCTGGTCAGGGTAATCCTTTCTGACTGGTGAAAAGCAGAGAAACAGACCAAGGTGAAAATTCTCCCAAAAGTGTGAACCTGACCTTAATTTTTTTTTAATTTTTAGAGCCAGAGTCTTTGTCTGTCACCCAGGCTGGAGTGCAG